TTGGGGAGGGGGAGGAGATGGTGGAATTTGCCACTAATGGATATTTTAGCTCTGGATCATCACTATCTGCTCCTCCCCCCCACCCTCATCTGGTTTTCCTTTTCAGTTTTTCAAGTGTAACTCAGAAAGCTTTAGCCAAAGGGAGGTGTTAAAGTTTTGTGCGGTTTCTGGAGATGAAATGGGCAAAAATCTCTCAAAGCTGTTTTCCTTCTATTTGAGACTGTATCTCCAGCAGTCTGTAGAAAATTACCATTTCATGGTCTCTTCAATATACTGCTCAGCACAGGCAGTAAATGCTATATAGACTGGAAATAGCTCCTGCCATCACACTTAACTCTCCTAGCATTGCTCTAGTTCTTGCAAGAAGAGGATGTGGGTTTCATTTTCTGGAAAGCAAAAAGTAGAAGAATTCTTAGGGAAGGTAAAGAAAAAAAGGAAGGAGAGGGTTCAGATGGTATTTGATTGTGAATACACTCAAAGTCAGAAATGCCCTAAAATAAGGGTGTGTTAAAAATCACCAGGAGATACAAGTGAGGAAGGCTGACTGTTCAAATAGTGGCTTACTGAAATTGGGTTCTTTGTGCTTTTGCAGTAAAAGTCAGAAAGCTGGAAACTTCTTTCTGTATGGTGCAGCTCTGTGGGAGTAACAGGACTCCAGCAACTGAGCTGTGAACCCCCACCAGCATCCTCACTTGTGATAAGAGGTGTCAGCTCTCAGTGTTAATGCATTTTCCTCATCCCAGCGGTAACTTTTTAGCATATTAAAGGCAGGAATGAGGGCACTTAGCAGAAAGAAATAGAAAGAGGAAAGTCTTGGGCTTAATTTGCCCATCTTAATAAGGAGTAGGAACAGTGGCTCTTTCATGGCTGCAGGTCTTGCATCTGAGCTGATAGGTCTTGGGCTGATGCCAGCAAAGGCATTGCTTGGGTAGCTTTGGTAGAAGGATTCTTGGCATTGAGTGAGACCAGAACTATCAGGAGGCTGGGGGCAGAGCTGTTCCTCTGAGCCAGGAGCATCTGTGGAAGCCCTTTCCTTGGCCAAATGTTGCAGTGATAAAGCATCTTTTGACCATATTTCATTTTAAACTGTATTTCACGCAGCTTGGAGTCTTCAGTGCTGAAGTCTACCATAAGGTAGGATAGCAGTAAGCAGTTTGAGGTCACTTTTTTGTGCAGTGAGCACAAAGGCTCCCACTTCACCTCAGATAGCTGCAAACTGTGTGCTTTTTATTCCTCTGCTGGGGAGACTCTTCATGTTCTGGCATTTCTTAGCTTTCAGTTGTCATTTTGAAGGTGCCAGGCTATGCTCAGCTCCTGGCTCTCACACAAGTCTTTCTTCTCATCACCAGAAATATTCCAAAATGTTCTCAGGGTTCCCATTTGAAGGACAGGAGGCCTGTGAGATGGAGGTGCAAGCAACCAAGTGCTAGAAGGCCGGGTGCTTGGGAGACTGAAGTCAGCAAGTCTTTAAATAAAGAACAAAACTGTTGAAACACCTCATGTAAAATGTACCCCATACTGTGACTTTTTGAGATCTAGTGGTTGAGTGATTTCAGATTTTCATGGCATCTGCCTTGGAGAGGTGAGTGCCATAGTGCAGTGCTGTTGCAGTGCCCTGGAAGTCTGTGCCAGGAGTAGATACATGAACGTGCTACAAAGGGAATGCTGAGAGCACCCTGCACTTGGAAGCCACCAGCTGCAGTGATAAGCCTTGTTGGTAGGCACTGTGAAGGTGAGCTGATGGGATGCCAGTGCCTAAGCTGAGATTTGAAAGTTAAAGGGACAAATTCTGCCCAAATTCGGCTCCTATTGAATTAGCAAGCTTGTGACAGCAGCGTGTGGCCTTAACGATGATTAGCAAGCACAGCAGAACTTTTATGTTTTGGATTGTACCACTGTGCCCAGGACAATGGCCTGTTTCCACCAGTCCAATAGAAACCAGCCTCTATTCTTCACTTCCATAGAGAGAGAGCTCGCACTTAAAATCCTGTGAGATTTTATAAATCTTTGCTTATGGTTCATTGCCTCAAAAAGAAAGGAAATAGTTAATTTAAATCAATTTACCCTGTTCATGGATTTAGAAGAAAACATCTTGCTGGTGAGTTTTTCCTCTCCATCAAGCAGAGGACACCCAAAAAGCACATTGCCTCCTGAACACTGATGTCCCACCTGCAGCCTGGGCTCCCCAGGTACCATAAGGAAAAGCAAACCTGCTCTAAAGGGGCTGAAAACTCTGCTGGGAAATGTTTGGGTATCTACAGATAAGTGAAAAGAAGTTGGAGAAGGGGCTGTGGTTGGGGCTGGTGTCCGTGCAGTGCTGTGCAAGGCTTCACCGCACAGAGAGCAGGAGTCACAGCGTGGTGACTGACTGATGATCACTCTCTTTAAAAGAGCTTAATAATATTTGAGAAAACAAATCAAAGAAAGAGGTTTTCAAAACAGCTCCTTTCCCGTGCATTTCCACTGAAGGGCTCTCAATCCATTTATTCTGTAATAATGATAAAAAAAAAAAAAGAAAGAAAGAAAGAAAAACCCACAACACCCCACACCCTGCAGCCCCCCCGCTCAGTTACTATAGCAAAGACATTATTTGTCGATCCTCCCCGGGCTGCTGAAAATACCCGCTGACATATTTAGTGCGCTGGCGGCGCGCGCTGGGGCCGGTGGGGCTGGCACTGTTTGGTTTGGGAAGTGTTCCCTGCGTCGCACAGCAACGCGGCCCGGCCGCCGCTGCGGGCTCGGTCTCCTCTAGCAACCCGTGTTGCTCCCCAAACATCGCCCTGCCCGCTTCGTCACCCAACATCTGCCGGCTGCTCCTCCCATGCAAGCCGTGCATCCCATACTTTTGCTGCAGCCGTGCAGCCCCTGCGTTTTCTCCTGTTTTGCGGAACTGAAGTGGGGCTGCAGCTCCCCCCGTAGCACCCAGAAGTGCTCTCAGGACTTGAGTTAAATCTAACCGTCTTGCTTCCCCCCTCATAGGTTTTCACAAGGGCTCAAATCTCCCAGTTTGATCTAGAGTGCAGCACTCAGGATGTGCTTTTAAAACGGAAGCTTTATGCTGCACATGGACAGAACAGAGCGGGTCCAGTGCTATCTGAGCCCCTCTCAGGGCAGGCAGAGGCAGCTGGGGGCCGGGGAGGCTGTTGGGAAGCCACCCACTCGAATCTCCCGGCCAAAAGCACTGCCTGCTGGGATTCCTCAGTTGGATCAAGTTATAACTCAGTTATTCCTCATTTGGTAACAGACAGTGGTTTTTTTTCTTTGTGGACATGATTGCTGCAAAATACAAACTGCTAGACCAGCATGCATTGAAGACTTTATCTTCTCCCTTTCAACTTGAACACATTCTGTCCTATTCTTGTCCTCACCAAAAATACAGCCGTGCCATTCTCCAAGTGCACGGTATTCCAGTACATATTCCTAAATGTTTTCTTTAGGGAATCTGAAGCAGCCTCCCCTTTTCTTAGCTTTTCCAAGAATTGTGGTTGTAGACAGCTTGTGGTTTCAATCTGGGGGGTCATGTTTAGTCTGCAGTACACTTGTCAATAGCTGTATGAACAGTAAATCTCCATGGGACAAAGCCCAGCTCCTTCTCCCTCTCACTACTATCGGTGCACTGCTGTGGAAAGCAGTTTCTGTCTCTGAGCTGCAATAACATGCACAGAATGCTGCAATGAATGAGCTGGCAGAAGCTGGGGGCTCCAGTTCAGGACCCCCTTGCCATACCAGCCTGTGACTCCCAGATGAGCGTGCCCCCAAATGCACACAGCCAACGTGGGTTTTGAACGTGCTGCTATTTTACTGTGTGTGCATGAGGAGAGTTACCAACAACAAACCCCAAACTCCCAAGAAGAGATTGCTCCAGAGGCTCATTGGCAACCTTGTGTCCTCCTTGCTCCATGTGAGGTTTCACCCTGGCACAGGGCACTGCACAGAGGGTGAGACCTCTTTTCTGCAGGGCAGGAGCAGAGCTCAGCCCACTGCAGTGCTCTGCCCCAGTAACACCAGTCCCCAGCACAGCCTGTCAAAGCATCTTGTGCATGGATGGAGAGATGCTGCAGTCAGAGCTGGATCAGGATGAAGACTTGACTGCTTCTGGTTCCTCTCCTTGCCCAACTCCTTTCTGGCTTCTTAAATTACTTCCTTGTGCCATGTTTTTATGCACCACATGGTGAAAACTCTCCCCTAAGTTCAGCTGCTTTAAAATCTGATTTGAAGCCTTTTTTTCTGAATAGCCACAGTTTATGTTTGTGGCTTGTTCTGCTTAACTTTGTTAAGCACCATAACACTCGAGAATGGTGCTATGTAAATAAATAGCAATACTGGGCTGCGTTGGCAGCAGTCTCCTGCTTACCAGATGGGCATGATGGGAACAGCTGCTGCTGCCCCATTTCTAAACAAAGTACTGCAGCACATCTCCTACTTCAGGTTTGATGTGTCAGAAGGGCGGCCAGCCTTGAGACCTGAAGGATTCTGTAGGCTAAGCAAGTAAACGATGGACATGTAGGTTCAGATTCACTGGGAGTTAATTTAAAATAAGGGACATCTTCCATTGTTCTCTGTCACAGCTATAAAAGCGGATCCTACAAAAGCACATCCAATGTTATACATCACAATACCCAGTCCTCAAAGGGACTAAGTCCTCTGGACAGCATGAATGCATCCAGGTACTGAGGGCAGCGTGGGAGCAGCTGGGATGGGGTTAAGCAGCTGGGATGGGGTTATGCTGTGGTCCAAAACAGCACTTTGAAGGTTTGTCCTAGAGAGCAGCCTTCACAATGTTGTGCCAGAGTATTGCCTGGTAGACTGCACTTCCCCTGTTGAACCACAGCCCTGGGAAACCCTGCAGTGTACATATTAAAAGTATGGGAAGATGATGAATTGGAGCCAGAACTTGTGCTTGATTTTACCACGTGTTCACCGCACGTGTTGCAGGTGGTACCCAAAAGGCCACGGTGTGGAACAGAGTTCAGTGTGTGACATTTTTTTCCTCCTTTCAGATATGAAAGCCTCCTGACTGCCCAGCAATCTCCAGAAGTTCTCTTGGGCAGCACTGTTTTCCATGGCTATAGCAAAACTTTTCTGAAGTCAAGATTTAGCTAGCTCATAGAAAGGATGCAAGGACTTTCAAGCACTTCTTGTCAGGGCTTTGCCAGTCTGAAAACCTGGAGCTGTGGAACTTTTCCTTAAGAACAGATGCTGTCTGGGGCTGTCACAGGTAAGGTTCTGGGGGGTGGAGTGCAGCACAGCAGTGAATGGGATGATGCTGACCTCCCTGTTCCTACACACCAGAAGGGATGTGTTCAGGTCTAGGGGATTTCAATCCCACTTTTGACACCTGGGGAGTGTTAAAGTCATTGGGCTAAAATGAAAAAGGGACAGTCTTATGGATGGGAGGGGGAGCCACTGAGTTCTTTTGCCAGTGCTCAGGTCTGAGCTCTGAGCACACGAGATTTGTAATCAGACTGTTCCCAGCAGCATTAACCCATCACAGCTCTGCTGCTCCATCTCACCTGGCTTTTAAGGAAACTCCACTCAAGCAGCCAGCACTGAGATGTTCCCAGCTCTCTCCTACCACTGAAAGTCACTTTTAAAGAAACAGTAAAGGTTACTAAGCTGCTGTTATGCAACAGTTATGTATATATGTCTGTATATATATATATATATTACATGACTGATTCCATGAAATCCAATTAAAGACTGTGTTTATATTTATATAACAGTATATTATTAACTACTGCTAATAAAAGCTGTTTCCAAATTTGTATTTTTCCATGAGGACCATGTTTCTGAAAAAACAGCCATACTGCTGCTGCCCTCAAAACTCATGTTTTGGATTTATCTGGGTTTCCAGGTAACTGGAGCTCTTAGACGAGCAGGGTTGCTTCTGTTTTAAATTAATTTAACCTAATCAGTGGAAGGCTCTGGTGCCTTCTCTGTTCATATCATTTTGAAGCAATTTAATAAGCAGCCTTTCCAGAATCAGCTTATTATCAAGTTCCTTGTAATATTTGCCTTCCTTTTTCCATCCCCTCCACTTAGCACTGCTTATTAAAAGGCTAAAGGTTATGACTTGCAGTTCAGGACACCCTTCAGATGAGGCTGCTCAAGTGCCAGCTCCTGTTTATCTGGAATACTCACTGTGTTACTCGAGGTGACAAGGGCACATTCATGCTCAGAGCCAGGGATGCCCCCAAGCTTTGCCCCATTTTGCTGCTGAGTTTGGCAGGGCTCTCCCATCCTATGGGACAAAATTGGAAGAAGGAGAACGTCATTGCTCATGGGAATCTCACTGTCCTTCTCTGTGCAGCCCTAACTGCTCCTCTGAATCCAGCTCCTTCTAAACGCTGAGCAGAAAGGATCTTCCACAGCTCCCAGAGCAGCTAAAAGGGAGTAAGGAAATACTGTGGCTCTCCAAAGTTGAGCTGGTATCACATTTTCTGGATATATAATATTTTGGGTAAGGAACAGCCTTCCTTTGGATATAATGTCTGGATAAGGTCTTCCAGTACTTAAAGGGAACTTATGAAAAGAAGAGAGACCAACTTTTTACAGGGTCTGATAGTGGTAGGAGGAGGGGGAATGGCTTTAATCCAAAAAAAGGGGAGATTTAGGTTGGATATGAGGAGGAAATTCGTCAGGATGGTGAGGTCCTGGCACTGCTGCTGAGAGCCATGGGTGCCCCATCCCTGGAGGCCCAAGGCCATGGATTGGGCCCTGGGCAGCCTGAGCTGGGGGGTTAACTAGCTCATGGCAGGGAGTGGGACTTGGGGGGACGGTGCTGGAGGGTCCCTTCCAGCCCAAACGAGGTGTACTCAATACTAACAACCGTGCTGGGAGCTTCACCCCCTGAGTGTTTGCTGTAGTGCATGAAGGAGGTGACAACTTTAATCCTAACCATGGACACAACCACCCAATGGTGATCTGTTTCTGTTGGTTTCACAGCCTTGAAACTCCATTTTCCTGAAGCAGAATGCTGGGTGCAGGCATAGAGACATGCCTGTCCACATCCTCGGTTCAGAGCCGCGTGGCAGCAGCCCACAGTTCCTTCAGCCCTGAGTTTAATGGGCAATGGGAAAATAAAATATTTTCCTGATAGGAATTTCAGGGAAACGCCTGTTATTTCTTGGAGATATCATGCTTTGGAGACAAGCACTGCAGGAATAAAGGATGCATGGAGGCAGGAAGCGAGCTGGGTTTGATACAAGCATTTGCCTTGATTCTGCTCTATGGTGGTGTAATTCATGTGGTCACGTTTTTATTCACGTAATATAGAAATGTGTTCTTTTCCAAATAAAGACAGTTCCTTTCTGTGCTGTAGTTAAAACGCAGCTAATGCCTTTTCAGAGCAAATTATTAAAAAGAGACTAGGCAAAAAATGCTGAAAGAAATGGAAAATACTGAAGAAAACCTCAAATAAAATAAATGTAGCATAGGAGGTGGTAGATAAAGTCAACAGTTGGCGTTCATCTGCTAGAATAGAAAGTGAAGATCTGCTATTTTCTGTATTCCTTTTATTATTTTTGAACACTTCTGAGTTTATTGAGGGTCCTCAGTAGTGAATCTGTTAAAAGCAGAAACCCTGCATCCTTTGTGTAGAGACAAGTTGGTAGATAAACAGGGGAGTAAATACCATTTAGAGCTTGTGTAGAACTTGGTGGTTAAATAATGTTTTTATTTCTTCTGAATCCAGTTGTTGCCATTCTGTTTTTCCTATTTATTCAAGCTCCATGCCAGCTAAACCTGAAAAAAGTTCCAGAAAGCAAATAACTATTTTAAATTGTAAACCTTCCCTTCAAAGTATGCAGAAAATGTACAAAATCAACCAAACAGGAAAAAAAGCAGAAACTTGGACTTGAATTTCAATCCAGCAAGTCAATGCTATGGGTAAGAAATTGTTCATTTCTTCTAATTAAACTACAACTTTCCCATTGCTACACATTTCCCATGTTGGATTTTTGGTAAAACACCAACTATTATGGGATTTCCATAAAAATCTCAGAGCTGTATCACAATCCTGTACATGGAAAAGTGACTGCTTCTGATTCCCTGGTTGTTTTACCCCTTGGTCAGCCTGAAGTCCAGCAAACCAAAAGAAATCTTGGAGGAGAAACTGGGCTCAGTTCAGCATCCTGGCTGTTGGGTACTGCAGATCTCATTAACTGATGGTAATATTAAAGAAGCACAAAGATTACCCATCATTTAGGGTGAAGTTTACTATAAATTCCCTTAGCAATCACATCTGGCTCTTCAGGCTTCTCACTGTTCTGTTGCATCTACCTGCACTTCATTGTAGTTGTGTGTTTTGATGTAACCAAGCTCATCTCTGTTCCCACGGCTGCCTGCATTCTGATTTTGGTTTTTATCTTCAGTCCCTGCTGTAGGATGTGTCTGACAACATGTGCAGGTGGCGATTAAAAACTCAGGATCCCTTCTTTTAGCTGGAGAGCTAATGCAGTTGGCATTTGCTTCCTGTTTAATGAGCGTGGCATCAGAAATAAAGAAGGAAGACATGATGATAGCAGGTTTGCCTGGAAAAATGAACGTTTTTCTTTCTGTCTTCAGTTGAAATGCAAGACATGAAGTATGTTCTTCAGTCTTAGGTTTACTAGTGATTCTTGTGCTTTGAGGCAATTATTTTCTTGGTGGATTTTTATGCCCCATATTTAAAGTCCAGAAATCCCCTTAGAGGGGCAGTGCTAAGCCCATTCTCTAATGGCAAACACAGTCAGTGGAATCACCCAACAGAGGCATTAGCATCTGCTGAGGTTTACTGTAAAACTGAACAATAAATGGCTGAGAATTTGTCCCAGAGGTAGAATTATTGACTATTTTTATTAAAGACAACAAACAAGAACAACCTCATCTGAGACATTTTCCTTCCCCTCATTTCTGCCCTGGTATTGTATTCCATTTCAAAAATTCTGCCAGGAAAAAAATATAATAAAGATGTAATAAAAGAATGTAAAAAGTTTAAATAAGATCAAAGGATGACCAAGTAAGCTTTGAAAAGCAAATTCAATTTTTCCCCACCATAAAATGGTTCACAATATGTTTTGCCTTCCACTGAGCATGTAAATCATTGAAACAAGCCATGTTAGTATTCTCAAAGCAACACTGGTATGCTTTAACCATTATTCTGGCTTAAAAAATGGCACTCACTGTTTGCTGGTGCAGGGTAGGTAGCTCCTGTGTTTTACATTTGCACCTAAAAAATGTAGCTATGTAAATGCAAGACCTAGATGCCATCCATGCACCTCACACACTGCTTTCACCCGTGAGAATCACACTGGTGTGCCAGTCCCACTCCAGGACTTCCTGCCTTTCAGTGAGGCTGCTCCTACATGCAGTAAAAGTAAGGGAGGGGTGGCCAGGAGGAACAGCACTTGCACCCTCTCCTATTAAATCTGGGCAGCTGTAGGGCTGCAGCCCTGCTGAATGAGGAGCAGAGCAGCAAAGGAAAACAATCCGAATACTTTCTCTGGGGCAGGCTCCCTGCTCTGGCTCTAATCAGCAGCAGTTATTAAGACAATTGAGGTCTCAGCATTTAGCAGTGAAGCTTTTTTGTTTGAGCGTCCAGGAGCTGATAGTTTATATTAAAGTGTTCCGTGGAAAAATACTTGGAACTCCTCTTCACCTCTGCGTTCTGTTGAGCCCTGGCTGCTGGGACCCTGGTGCTGGGTGTTGGGCTCCTGTGAGGTGGCTTCCACCCCAGCTGCAGGACAAAGCTTTTGGATGCCCCTCACCGCAAATCAGAATGTGGAAAACATTGCAAAGTGCTCCCTTATCTCTGTTTTCCCAGCGTTTTGGAGCTGGTTTAGGCAGGACAGATTAACAAAGGCAAGGCTATTTACATGAAGGCCGTGAGATTTATGAATGAAGCAGCAACAATTGGAGTTTTATCAAGCCCCAGGCTTGCAGCATGACTACTTGTCTTTCTCAAACACATTCAGTCTTTGACAGCTCTCTGAGGCCAGTGCTTGAAAAACACCTTACAGAGGGGAGCAGGATCGCTTTTTTAGGAGTGGGAAAACTGAAGCATAGGAAAGGGGAAGCATCCTGCTCAAGGTCACAGAGCAAGTTGGTGGCAGGACCAGAAATAGCACCCAGAAGTTATTAGCTTTTTCTGTATTTCCTTTCCTGTCACTGCTGTTTGCTTGGATACCAAGATAGCTGGGGTGTAAACAGAAGGTTTCCAGAGCCCAGCAGCCCTGCAGCCTGATTCATTCAGTGATGATGCAACGTGGAATCCAGATTTCTGCACCGCCTCCTGCAGCCGCTGCTGTGATGCCATGCGTGATGTCACCGTCAGGTTGAGCAGCTTTGAGACTTGTCTGAACCTGAAATGCACAGTTGCACGGGGCCTCACTCACTGCAGTTTTATTCCTTCTGCAGGGTCAGATTCCATCTGCTAACTGGAGAAATAACTAAGTTGTGGTTTTGCTCTTAGCTCTGCATGGAGCTCTGGAGCATTGGGAGTTGGCTATGGTTGCTATTCCTTTCTGTGAACCACTGGTGGCTTTGTTTAGTGCTGATTTGTTTCTCCATCTGTGCAGACTCACCGGCCCAAGGGGCTGCCAGGCTGCTATGCTGCCATCAGCTGTTGGGAGGCGCCAGACACCTTTCCCAGCTCTGTCGGTTTCTTCTGCTGGGACAGCTGCAGCCAACGGGGACCAAATCTGGAGCTGTGGGGAAATGATGGGGCAGTTTCTGAGCTACCAAGGCTGCCAGGAGCAGATCTGCAAAACTTCCTGCAAGGAGTCCTTTCCCAGGCACAGGCTTCAGACAGGTGGCAGAACTGGCACCAAACTGGGGCTGTGCCCCAACACCAAGCACCCATCGCAAGTGTGTTCCATGCTATGCATGAGCAACTTCCAGAAAGGGGAGTGAAAAGGCCTGGGACATGCTTACCATCCTGTTAAAAAGCAGTTCCCCATTTCTCCTTTGGTAGCTGTCTCTGGGATGTGGACAGAGATGTGGGGCACCATGCAGTGGTTGCTTGGAGTGCAGGAATTCTGTTGATACTGTCAGCATCTCAGCAGCACAAATTACTGCTAGCAGATGGCATACATGGTTCTGTCTCTGCAGTTCTCAGGAAGTACAGGATGGCTTCAGTAGGAAATGAATTATTCTCTATGCAGGATGTTCTACTAATGAACAAAATAATACTAAGTCCTGTTCATGTGTTTTGGGGTCCAGCACTCCTGTGTCTGTCCACCTTGTCTGGAAGTACAGCTGCAGATGTCATTGTATTCTTTGTGTCTGGCTTTATTGTCATCAGTAACAGAGCCTGTGTTTTATAACAAATCTGAAACTAATGGTGATGATTTCTTTTGGCAGCAGACAGTTCATCTTCTGCCTCTCTCTGCTCTCGTTTGGTCACTGGGGGAAGCCAGAAGACAAAGTATCAGCAGGGCTGAGGCACTGGTAATCCTGAGCTATCAGAAAAGTGCACTCAAGCGTGATTCTTACAGCCATTCTTGAGACCTTTCTGCAGACCTGAAATGCCAACATCTGCCCCCGTTAGAACCATTCTCAAACTTCTTTTTGCCACCAAGAGCGGTGTCCAGAGTGCCCCTAAACTTCTCATTTTCCCTTTTGCTTCTTCAATTGCACAAAGCTGAAGGAGAAGTTCAGATACTGAAAGGAGTAGAAAAATAAAACTGAAAGGATTCCACCCCATTGTTCGGGGGCTGTGCAGCACACAGCAGCAAGACTGAGGAAGGAGAAATGACTGCTCAAAATGTGGATGTTTCTGAATTTGTTGATTCAGAAGTGATGACAGAAACATCTTGAAAGCATTTTAATTTTTCACAGCAGTCCCCTTAGGGTGGGCAGCACATAGGGCAGGAGGGTGATGGCTTAGGTCCTGCTTTGGGAGTCATGGACAGGATGAAGTGATGTGGGACTTGGCTGGAGGGCAGAGGTGTCCCTTGGAGGTTTGGAATGGCACTCAGCCTCTGCTTGTTCTCTGCATTCATGTTTGATTGAACGCCCCAATTGGACACCCCACTTTCAGAATGCAGCCCCAGGCAGGTATTCAATACAAATTTTACAGTAACCATGATAAAGCAGAAGGGAAGAATAAATGGCTTCAAAAATATGCTCTTACTCTTACAGATCTGTAGTTATCCCTCGCTATGACACAATAATTTTCCAATGCCACTTTTTTGTTATATTTAGAAGTGCATTTTCTGTTCCTTCCCTCCCCTTTCTGCGGAACAATTGTGCAACTTTCTTTTTTCTTAATATAATACCGCATTAAAATTAGATCCAAGACTAAAAAGAGCCCTTGTGTAGGAAGGTAGCTACCTTCCTTCCTATCACTCCCCCTGGGTCTTCCACTGGGATTTTGCTCCATTTAGACACTGGTTCCTGGAGCTCCTGGCTATGGTGAGCGAGCGTAACAGTGCTTCCTATGCTGATGTCCCTTCTGCTCTCTCCAGCAGTGAGCATGCAGAGTTCAGAGGGTGGATCAGACTCAGCAGCTTCCGTGACACTTCATCCTTCTGCATCAGCCCAAGCTCCAGTGGTGCAGCCAGTGCCAGCCTCACAGCAGGTAATGTATGCACAGCTGGAACGCCGTTTCCATGGAGAAGGGACCAGTTCTACCAGTAGATGCATTTTAATCCAGGATCTTATTTGGGGAAAGAGTTTGCTAATCAGTTGTTGAGGCAGTGGTGAGAAACTGTGCTTGGAGATTGTTGATCGAGGCCAGAGATATTTAGCTGTGTTAGCAGTGCTTTTAAACCCCAGAATTTAGATTTTTATCTTAGCTACCTAAGGAACTCAGTTTGTGCCAGTTTGATGTTTTCTCAGTATAATATCTTGCTGTCATTTGTTGTGTCAGTAAAAGCATCAGAAAATGAAATAATCTTTAAAGACATCTCTTGCAGAAAAGTTACCAAGATCAAGAGAAAAAGAGAGGGGGAATGCTAAGCAGATGTGGGTGGAGGAGTCAAAAGGAAGCCTCTTCCTTTTGTGGGTGGATCCTAACATGTTGAATTAGGGAGAGGGGAGATATTTGTGATGTATTTGCATGAACACAATGCTCTTGGAAGGTCTCCTGATAGGAGAGATGAATTAATTGATGAATGAAAACTACCTAGTACAAAACGGGAAGTGTTAAGTATTACTATAGTTCCTTTTTGTGCCATTTGGGGAACTGTCAGAAGAACTTTCCATCACAGTTAAGGAAGCTGAAGGGATAAGAGAATGGGTGGGTGTAGCTGAGCTACACCCTTCTCTCCAGCTCCCAAGTGAGCAGAAGTAGCTGCCATTGGATGCTGGTGGGAAGTGACAATTAAAAATAGTGAATTGGTAGGAGCACTTTGTCCATAGGACCTGGGCATCCACATCGTGCAACTCGGCATTTGGCCAGCCCTCTGTCTTCCTGCAGCCTTCCCAGCATTTATCCAAGTGTTGTTTCTCGTTTGTATGATAATGGTGCGAATGCTGGACAATAGCATAACGTATCTTAGGGACAACGTTAACAAAGTTTAGAAAACCTGCTGGCTTTGGATCATGAAATTACCCATCCAGCATTTCCTAGTGCTGTTGTAATGACATGGCATATTGAGTGGAACTCCGTGGATTAAGGAAAACTCAGAGGAACTTGGAAGAAAGCTCGGAGGAGGAACATCCAGAGAGCCTCCCCCTCCCACCTGCAGGACAAAGGAAACGCTAGGAATGAACTACTGGCAGCAGGAGTGGTGTGAGGCTGAAGCCTTTGGTTTTGTTGATCACTGGTCTACCTTTCAGTGTGAGAGAAGGCTCTTCGAACAGGATGGCCTCATCTTACAGGTTGGGGATGATTAATTATTTTGGTTGGAAGCCGATAGGAATAACCGGGCAGGTGGTGATGAATTACAGAAGTAGCTGAGTTGGGCAGCTGTGCCAAATGGAGGAGAGATGTGTCATTTGGTAAAAGCAATGACAGAGAATGAATGAAAAGTAGGAGAAAGGAACAATTCTCGGTGAGACTTGGAGGCAGTTGGCATTGCCAAGGTCTGACTTGAAAAAGGGCTTTTAATGTTCCTCTGGTCACAGCCTCTTTTGGAAATAAAATAGGCAAAGTGATGGCAGGCGTAATTGTCAGTGTCCTTATCGCTGTCTCAGCTGCAGGATCTCAAATGTATCCAGACTTGTGAAGGTCTCCATGGGGGGCTGGTGATGTAGGGACTGTGTAATTATCATATTCCTGGTAATTCTGCAGGAACAGAATTTCTGGCTGGTTACAAAAGCCATGTCTGGGAGGGTATTAGAGGACTAAAATTCATAAATAGAGATATGACAGCCAATAATTGTCAGGGTCTCTTCTAGGACTCATGTGGGATTGTTTTGCAGCTGTTTATTCTGTTGGCCCAGTTTGCTGGGTATTTTTAAAGCTTCAAGCTGCAGAGGATGACTGTCTCCTTGGAGAAGGTCCTCATCATTTTAAAATGCCATACAGATATTTGGCTTGAATGTTTCCTTTCTTACTTTCATGCCAGTATCCAAGGCTCTGTTCCCATGGGCCTCGCTGAATCATTTATTTCCATCCACATTTGTTTTTCTGGATCTGCAAGGTGCTTAGCACTCTTCAAGACATGCCCAGCCTCCAACAGAGTGTGGAGTGTAATGCAAAGAGCAGGGGGGCGATGGAAAAGGCAGGGGAAAGGTAGAGAACAGTGTTCTGGAGTGACCACTGCAGGGCAGCACGAGTCAAATTTGTGTCCTTGGTGACACTAAAGCCACTAAAGGTGCAGAGCCATAACATCTGTGGTTTGTTGGAGAGTGCAATTTCATATCACAGGAGGCAGAAAGTGGCTCGGTGTAGCAGGAATAAAAGAAGAAGCTTTGCAGTTTTAGGAGGAAGATGTGAACATGTGAGGAACAGTTCTTGTTGTGCTGCACCTGAACATCCTGCTGAACTCCTCCTGTTGAATGCCTTCTGTTGAACTTTTCCTGTCAATCAGCTGCTTGCTGTTACTCTTTTATCTTCCATGGAGAAATTCAGAAATCATGGATGTACTTCTCCACTTTTCCCCAGTTTTGGGTGCTGAGTTCAGTCTGGTGTCACTGCAGATTACATTGGAGGGATGGGGGACCACAGGGTTGTCAACTAAGGAGTTGTCCTGCCTCCCAGAAAGTTTGAAGGGGAATAGATGGCTCACCTGTTCAGAATAACAACAAGCTGCAATAAGTGTGTGTTAATGTATCTTCTTTCTGCAGAGGGTTTTGGTGCAAGCAGCAGGCTCTGCTCCCAAAGGAGCGCAGATGCAGCAGATCTCTGTTCCCAGAGTTCAGCAGGTTCCACAACAGGTAATGTCCCCAAGGGGAGACCCCACACAGGGACTTTGTGTCAGCAGGACTGTACACTCCCCCCATCTCTCATGTCCCACCTGTACTAGATTCTGTGACAAATATCTCCTTTGAAAGATCCATAGTTTTAATTAAAGAGCTGTGTGCAACTGGGGACCTAGTGATCACTGTGAGAGCAGCTTTCTCCGTCTCTCCCTCTCCTTCTTAGACTGGTAATAAAATAAACTCTAAAGATACTTAAGGTTTAGAAAGAACCTTTACTGTAGCAGGTGTCTTGCATACATTTGAAGATTTGATGTTTGATTTTAATTGCCATTTAGTAAGCAGGACTTCTCTGTAAAAATTTTTTAGAGGCAAAGTGGGGTTATTTTTTAGTTACACAGACAAATATACTGGCTGCATGTGGCTTCGTAGGAAGTTTGGGTAACTGAGAACCATGCAAGTGTTTTTATTTATCTGAACTTTGCCTTTTGCAGCCCTTGTTTCCTAAGAAACCAAGCATATGTGGTGCTGTCTCACGTGGACAGTGAGTCTGACTCCTTTGACTTTTTCCTTTAGCAGTTTTTATTTGGTTGCTCAGTTCCAGAAAAACTTGACAGAGGGCAACCACATATCTCCCAGACCAACAAGAAAGTGGGCTGGGATGCAGATGGACGCTGCCAACCTCTCTGAAGGAAAGGCTGCGGTGTGATCTCACCCTTATTAGTCAGCAGAGAAGCAGCCCTCAGACGTGTGTGTGGAGAAAACCCAGCTCCATTGTTTCCACTGCTCATGGAGCAACTACTTATTTATTTATTTATTTTAATTTGAACTTTTAAAATAAATGTGTCCTTTGGGATTCCCAAGCGTGTGTATTTTGGGGTTTTATTTTTGTTGTGATTATCTTTTTTTGTTGAAGAAAGCCTAGGTGTCAAGGTAAGGTTGAAAGTTAAGGATGCAGTATGAAATTTGTCTCACTGTTCCTAGGCAATGGCATGTCTCTAACTGTTATGATGCTTGTTTTAGGTGCAATCCGTGCAGCACGTCTATCCATCCCAGGTCCAGTATGTGGAAGGAGAAGCTGTCTATACCAATGGAACCATGTAAGAGTCTTTTACTCGGTTCACTACTCCACACTGGGTCTAAGCAGTTTGGTCCTGCCGGGTTCTCCTAGTCCAGCACTGCTCCTGGCACTGCCTGCCATTCAAAGGTGGAAGGGAAAAACTTTTTTGCATGCTGCATTGTGTGTGTGGGTGCTAGACTTTAGGCAGAGATGTTGTCCTCATGGAAGGAGTGTTCTCCAGCGAATCCTGCTCTCCCTGATATGAAATGATCCAGTATTTTCCTCTCCCCAGCCCTCTGCAGTGGAGAGCTGGGGCAGGCTTAGGAACCAAAGAATGATTTCTATAGGGAGAAAGGGGCTATGTAAGATTTCCTCTTGCCTCTCTGCTGGGACCTTCTTTGTGCCCCTGCTTGGGTCCTGCTGCCCACTGGGATGCTTTCAGCCTCCACATTTAGGTTGAGACAGCTGCAGAGTGGTCACAGGACTCTGTGTGCACACTGCTTGGATAGGCTGTGGGTGTGGGTCTTTGCTTCAGGGCTGTCACAGGACAGATTAATGATGTCAGAGTTGACTTTTATGGCAGAGTTCGATTTCATTGAAGCAAATCCCTCTGACAATGGAGTCGAGGCCTTTTTTAAAACATGGCGCACGTTGCAAAAGCCATTGTCTGTGAGATTAGATCTGTAAGCTCCTCTCCATCGGCGTGTGCTCCACATCCTAACCCTATTGTTCCTTTGACAGACGAGCCGCCTACTCCTACAACACCGAAGCTCAGATTTACGCCCCTAGCAGTGCAGCTTCCTATTTCGAACCGCAGGGAGGTGGAGCTCAGGTGACTACAGCGGCATCCTCTCCTACAGCCATTCCCTCTCACAACATGGTGGGCATCACCATGGACATTGGGGGAAGTCCGATCCTCTCCAGCTCGGGAGCCTATCTCATTCATGGGGGGATGGAAAACACTAGACATTCTCTGTCACATACTTCACGCTCCTCTCCAGCAACGGTATGTAGCCCTGCAGATGTTGTAGCTCAGGGGCCCGGAATTGTTCCAAGGGAACTGAAAAGCCTTCAGAAAATAAATTCTCCTATCATTATCACCGTGTATATGTCTGTATAACATGTCATGCAAGTGCAAGGAAGAGAATAGACACTGGTGTACTGCACGGATATTTATCCCAGAGTTTAGATGTCTCTCACTGGCAGGCAGAAGCTTGTCAAATGTTTTGAGCAGATCATTCATACACTGAAATTATGCAGCATGGAGATAAGAGCTATGTTCTCAGAGTTTGGGGCTTTTTCTTTCCCCAAGCAAAATGTTTTGGCTTTCCAATTCAAAAGAATTGTCTATGTTAACATTTTTTAATAGCATCTGAACACGAGGCTTATCCCAAAGTAAAGAAATATATATTTTTAATTATAAAGAGACCTGAAAAGTCCATTATTAACATGGTGAATAATTACTGCAAAAGGTATGTCAAGCTGATTTCTCCAAATTCGCAATGACTGAAAAGCTTTCATATATCTCCTACACCACTGTGTATTCTGTCTTTGCCATATGTTACAGAAAATGTATTTTAGGGATAATACTGCTCTTACACAAACGTATAAAGCTCTAATATTTTTTATTTGTGTCTTTCCAACAATCAGAGGTGCCAGGTTTAGAAGCATAGCTGTACAACTGTATGGGACTATGAGAGATAGCTTAACCTAAAGCAGCCTTCCCGTGGCTAGAAGCTATCAGAGTTTTATCTGAGAATCTACAAAGTCTTAGTAGCAACTGTTGCCAAGAGTTGGTTGGAGTTTGTATTGTGGGACAGTATTCACCTTCCTTTTCACCTGACGTTGGTGTGTGTATGTGTGTATACAGTTCTGTGTAAATGTGATTACAAATATAGGTGCAATTGAGTTTATGTGGCTGGATTTTAAAACATGAAAAGCACTACTTAGGGTGAAAAATGGGAGCTGCTGGCTACTGAGTTCTCTTGAATCTCTGGCCGACAAGGCTCCACTTTCTTGTCCCACAGCATTTTAAAACACAGACTTAAAACACTTTGGATCTTTTGATCCCACAGTGAATGCGTTCTGCCTTAGGTAGAAATACCTGTCAGTGGAGAACAGTCTTAGCTCAGGGTGAAGGAGAAAATGTGGTGACAACTCTAGGAATGAGTGGCAGATTCACTGGACTAGCAGATTTCTTTTGTGAGAGTTTTCTGTGTGTTTTAATTACTCAGAGTTAAGAACCAGCACTGGAACTTCCTCTGATTTTGCTCATGCTTGTTATTTTGAGCGAAGTAGCTGCTGATCATTTCACCTGTGTGTGACTGCATCTTGCAAATCTGCACAACATTACTTTTTTTTCTTTATTTCCATGGCAATGGACTCAGTGTAAAAAGGCCAAGTGTGATGTGTCAGTACAAATGTCCCATGAACAGATTTGTTTTGTAGCTGTCTATCACATGAGACAAGTTGTTCAGAAAAAAAAAAAAATTAGGAAGTGACCTTTATGAAAATGCATCTGAAAAAAAAGTCACTCTGTTGCATGTAGGAATGAACTTTCAGAAGTGTCTGTGGCTCCTGTGGATAAGCTTAAGAGTGCTAACTAATGAATGATGCTTGTGTGGAAGATGGTGTAGGGGCATGTCCATCTGTGGCTTTCAGTTCTTTCAGCGCAGACCAGAGCTGGAGGGAGATAAGGTAGATCTTTCAGGGACATTCAGAGCCATGATAGATGCTTTTAATTTCACACAGTAATGGGTGGACAGATAGTGGAAGGCAAGGGCAATATCAAGATAATGTCACTGGGTAATAACATTATTTTTATTTGCAGTGTTTCGCTTAAACAGAGAATAGGGAAGCCTGGTGTTGCAAGCCTGCAGACCTAACAAAAACAGTTGGGGCAGGATTAAGACCTTAACTGTGGAGAGAACACAATTACAGCTCATGCAAATGTAGGCAAGGAAGAAATGTTTGCACGTGGTCTCAGGTGTGCAGTGTGAAGAGTTTGGGTGTCAACACAGCCAGCAATGCAAGGACAGCAACAGAGATGCTGCTGCAAGGAACAGGGAATCGTGAGGGCTTGGAGGATGCTGACTGCTTGTGGCAGAGCCAAAACAGAAACCTCAGAGGGAAAACCAAGGAGAGTATCTTCAAAGAGAGTGAGATGGGAACAAGGGATCACAATTAGCAATGGAATAAGAGCAGAGCTGCCTCAGGAGGTTGAGAGATGTTTGGCAAAGGGTGTATGCACACTAAAATAAAATCTTCAAGTATTAAAAAGAAAAAATCCAGCATCCTCCAAATCTGCTGGAATAAAGATCTTCTTCTTCTAGTGGGCTGTAACAGAGCATCACATGGTTCTGTTTGGTGTCTGTACTGCCAGAGCACTATTAATCTTCATCTAAATTAAACTGGGCCAGGAAATCCCTCAGAACTGTCTTCCATCTGGTCCCAGTAACTCAGTCTTTACCCAATGCACTCCAGTCCTTTCTTGGACAGGTTTTGCTTGTCCAGCAGTTAGTGAGCAGTAGCTGAGAGGTGCTGCTGGTTTGTACAGCTATGGTTGCAGAATGAATAACCAACTGTAAAGCAGCTTGTCTTCTACCTGCTGCACCACTCTAGGCAGCCCCACAATTGCAGTCTTTTCCTGTATCCTAGGGTGGGATAGAGAGCAGAACAGCTCTCCTTTAATGAGCTGATGACATTTCATCAGGGCACATGGTGCTTTTTAACTTCAAAGTCAAGAAATTTAGCACCTATTCTCATAGAGCAGCTATTGAACTGTTCTTTTATCAAAAAGCTCTCTTTCATAAAGGACTGCTTAAAAAATTTCAGTCTTTTTTTTTCCTGCAGATGTAAGGTGTCCATTTGTACTGGACACTTACCAAAATGCCAAAAGGACAAGTGGTACTTCTGTGTTTGCATAAGAGATGTTGCTCAACAGGCACTGCCCTGCTCAGCTGGTTCTGCCCCTGAACAGAGGAAGGAAATGGTGTCTCCCTCTCACACTTTGACTCATTTCCTGAAGGCTGCGTCAGCAGTCAATCTGTGCTGATGGGTTTTGGTTCCTCATGGTGCATTAGGGCGTGCAAGTTTTCTCAAAATCCAGTGAACCATATGCTTGGGCTGACCCTTTTTTGAATTCAGTGATAACTTACTGAGAGGTGCCACAGTGATGTCTCCTGGGGGCAGAAACCAAGGAATTTATGCTGGAGGTTTTTGGACAGTGTCACATTCATACACGGATATGGCAAAGCCTGGACATTTTCTTACTGAACTGAGCTTCAGATGTTAGATCTCACTTCTCTGATAGAGCTTGGTTTTGTACCTGGCTGTTTTTTTCTCCACCCTTATCTTTGCCATGCTAGGAGTCAGTGCAAACTTGAGTATAGGGAGATAGCTGTATGTAAATGAAGCCATAAGCTGACTGATCATCATGCAGATGTGATGCTTTTTGCATGCACCTCCAGATACATGTGTGACCATGCATGTTAGATGGTGATAGATGCTAAACTTGATAAGAGATAGGTGCTGGTTGCAAGTTCTGTAGCATGCTGCCTTATCCTGCCTGCTCTAACAGGTCACAGATAAAGGGTTTGGAGAACATCTACTGGAAACAACAGGAACTGACAGAAAACTGCCAGTCCCTCAACCTGAGGTGCTTCTTTATCCTTCCACATTTGCAGAAACCTTGTGCTCAGGAGCAGTAGAGCTCTGGACCAGCAGCATTCTGCTAAGTCGTTTGCCAGAGATTGCCAAAGGATCCCCAGCAGTAACACAAAAAGGGTCTAGGAGGGGGTCACAGCACAGGGCAGCAGCAAGAGCTAGGCTGGGAGTAGAAGAGAAGGTAGGAGCGGGTAGAGGAAAGCAAAGGGTCTGTTCAGAAGCCAAGATGTATGGCAGAAGCTCTGAGATCAGAGGAAATGAGTACAATAGCAGCCTGCATAACAGCAAAGATGCATTCCATTTCAGCTTGCACACTCCTTGTATCAACCCTCCTGGTGCCTCTGTTTTATTTCAGTGCTTTTAGTTCTTTGTCAAAATTTTAAGAAGTAATAAGTTCATTAATCCCAGTTTTCCATGAAAGATCTGAGTACAATGCACCTCCTCTGTACCAGTGTTCTTTGATTTGCTGCAGTGCATCTGTATGGTGGTGTTTTGGTCTAGGCATGAAAGGGAGAGAAGGAAAACTGCTTCCCCTTTATAATGGGCAGTGCTTATAGTGGAAGAGCAAATATCCCCCTGTCTCACTCTGTCAGCCTAACAGGGACTCTTGCTGTGTTGTTAGTTTGCATGCCATACAATAACGTCTTTCAGCTTCATCCCATAAGGACTGTGCCTCATCTACTTGCTCTTTTCACAAGCCTGTTGATATGAAGCATAAATCATTCAAGTATTAATAAGGGTAAAATCCTGGCTGTTGCTAACTATCTGATTTCCTTTCTTTTTCTTTTTTCCTTTTTTTTTTTCCCTGTGCACATTTTCTTTAGCTTGAAATGGCGATTGAAAACCTACAAAAAAATGAAGGGATTACATCACACAAAAGCAGTTTGCTCAACAGCCATGTAAGTTGCAATCGGAATTTACAACCTCTTTCCTGCTTTGGTTGAAGCATTATTTGTAGCTGTTTGGTGTATTCAAGAGCACAAAGCACTCAAAGCAGCCCATGATTCAGCTGTGCTGCCCAAAGCAGCCCATTCCTAAGAAACAAGAATTGATGCAAAAGCTGCCATGATGTTAATGTTTGTTTATGAGAAGCTCTGGATTGTGTTAACTGCCTCTACCCTGTATTTATTTATTTCTTCTACCTTGCAATGGAAATTGCTGGCAATTAGATAAACACATTTGAGGAAGTTCTTTCCTTTTGGTGAAATTGGAAGATGGCTGGAGAATAACTTGCAATTCTACAGCAATAACTTGGAGTGGATCATGACAAATATCCCCTAGATTCCAAATACCAAAAGCCTACTCCTGTGAATACTTTATTGCCTCTTTCTGTGCCTCAGGAAGACCATTGCTGTTACAATGCTATGCTAAATCCATTTGCTAGGCCTCTCTGTTCTTACTATGCCAATAACTTCCCTGCTTTGTGTGAAGTTCCTGCTGTTCTACTGGGTCTACTCAGGGTCTTCTGCATCATGGTTTATGGCTTCCATGCAGTAATGCTTAACAGCAAGCACATGCTTGTGTCAGATTTGAGAAGTCTAATTCAAGTCCTACTGAAGTTACTGGGTTTGCCTTGACTTCACTGTGGTTTGGGTAAGGCTGAAGCATGTTCTGCTCTGATAACTCACAGTGCACTAAGTGGTACTTCCTTATTCTAACAAATTTAGTCTTGCTTCATACTTGGAGGCAGATATGTTGTCATTCTTGAGTAGGTTTGACCTTTTCACCGTACAGAAATAGGCAGAGAAAATTAGAGGAACTTTCAAACTAATGTTCTGATATCTTAAGCTGATTCCAAACTTCAAGCCTGGGCTCCTGGGTGAGCTCAGTTCATATTTCAGGTGCTAGAAATAGAAGGATCCTTGCTGTAGCTGGGAAAATACACTGTTGTGGAATCAGGCTTTGATCTGAGCGTTAGTGCACATCCTTCTTGCCCCAGGTTGCAGCCACACTTCTGCCCCTCAGCCACACAGGTTTGGCTAAGGGTAATGTCCTGCAGAACTGTTCTTGTTCATTGCAGCACAGACAGGGGCAGAGTGGAGCAGAGTGGGGTAGGGAGTGGAGTGATTCTGAAGGAGGTTTGGAAAAAGGAGAAAAAGAACAGAGCAAGGAAAGTGAAGACAGAGATTTCATCTGACGACAGGTCATGTGGAACGGAGGTGGGGCCAGACCCAGCCTCCCAGCAGTGCCACCTCACTTCTTTCTTGCAGGACAAGACATAGCATAAGGTCTCTGCCCATGTCACTGCTCAGTGTTTGAGTCTCCTGGCTCAGTCCCAACCATTCTGCAGTGTGAGGCTGTGTCCATGTACACGTAGAAGCAATGAGGAGGCAGCAGTGCTGCAGTGCCTGCAGGAAATGCAATGTGCTGCAGGACCAGGTTGGGTGATTTCCTCTCAGAGCTCGAGGGAGCTCAGTGAAGCTGCCTGGAAAAGCCTCTGCCTGTTGTGGAAGTCTTCAGGACCTTCCTGTGCAGTTAGCCTCAGTCTATGGCTAAGTGTCCGCGTGCGTCCCCTGGTCCATGCTGAGTTATAATGTTTTCTGTTACATGGGATATTTCAGTTCCTACCTTCCATGCTTACTGTGAAGACAGGCAATTACATATCTCAGCTGCCTGCCTGAATATTGTCAGGCTCGCCAGTGAGAATCAGAAAGCAAAACAGAAGGGAACTGTGATTTGTCAGGGCTGAAAGGAAAACAGGAGCTTGACATGGGGGACAGAAATCAAAACAGAGCTCACAGCCCCGAGCAGTGGTAGCATCACAAGCCAAGGTGGTAGCAAAATGCAATCCTTTAACCCGACAAATGTTCCTCTTTTGGAAGACCTGGTACCCAAGGGAAGCTTTGAGGTGATGTTAATTGCACCATTAGTTGTGGTTTAATTACATTTATTCTTAAGGTTGAAGAATTTTTCATCGAGTGTTCTGCCTCTCATTTTAAACTGCACTTTTTGCAAATTTGTAAATTCTTAGGATAATGGTTTATTTTATGGCCATCAGCAGATTTTTCATGTCAGGGTTTTCTTTAAAGGAAAACAAAATGTATCTCAATCAAGAGGGTTTGGTTTTTTTTACATAACTCAGTTTATACAGAGTCCATGCCGTAAGGAGCCACTCTTGATAACTGAAATTACCCTTGAAAACTCTGAGAAGTTACTTAAGTGCACTTGAAATATCGAGTGTAGAAGCCAAAGCGAATGGTAATACCCAGTGAGAAGTGATGCTTCTATTGAAATTATGTCCATCAAATACTGTTCCTGAAAAGCTCTGCTCACAAGTGCACTCCGGAGTCTCTGGGTCAGAGCATTATTCTCTGACAATGAGGAGCTTGCAGATGATGCAGAGGGAGGGAAGTGGTGGTTTTTCAAGAAAACTTTTGAAGAAAAAGTGTAGATTTTGGGGACATCTAATTGTGGAAGGCTGTGAGGTGTCCCAGCCTTGGGTGAAACTCCCACGTGTGCCCCACAGGTGTGTGTCCTCATGGGTTTGTTCGGTTCCATAGAAGGATCTATAACAAAACCTCCAAACCTGGAGCTTCTCCTTTTTACACAGCATCACTTCTTCCACCCTCTGATCCCTCCTTGAATCAAGGGCTGTGTTAAAGGGTTGTTTTTTTACATCAAAACAGACACTCGATAGAAATAAAGTGTAAGTAAAAATGAAATGGAAATGTTCCTCTGCGTGTAACACAACCAGCAGCATACAGCTGCACTGAGATTTTATTGGAGCCTGATCATAACACAATCAGAAGTGAAACTGGTGTATTTTGTCACTGTCACAACAGAGCCCAGTGTCAAAAAGTAAACAGAATAGAGAACGCAAACAGGGAGAATCTTTAATGTTCTTATTTTAAGTGCCCAGTGCGTTGTTGGTAATGCAGGAAGAGCAAAAATCGTCCTTTGAAAATTATTTGTATCCTCACACATGCCTTTTTTGAGTTCTTTTGTGCATTTTGCATCAAATTCCAATTCAGCAGTGGGAGTTAATCTCGTGAAACTCCATAGTGTTTGAAGGAATGTTAAAAAACACTGCAGAGTGTTGGAAGGTGGAGGGGATGTTGTAGGATTAAAGTGAAAATCTCCAGGGTCAAATTGAAATGCCTGTTTTTCAAGGCATGGAATTAGGGCAGGTTTAGAAGAGTAGAAATAACCAATCCATAGTCATTATCTTCCATTGGATAAATAAAAGGTAAAGAAAACAAAACAAAAAAAAACCCCAAAACTTATTAATCATTATTTTTTTAAATATAAGGGATGGGTCAAAATAAGTGCAGGTGTGGACTGGTTAGAGACAGAACTGCTGCTGGTTCTTCATGTCCTGAGTGCTGGGGAGTGCTTTTGTTAGAGGCAGCTGTAAGGGATGAGTTCATCGGAGCCTCGGGTCTGCAGTGGCCTTTTGGGGACTGCCCACCACATCTCCTGGTGCAAATAGGGGCAGGGAGGCCACCAGCAGTCACTGCCTCATAGGTCTGTAGGGTTTGGGCTCCAGAAAGTTCATTTTCTGTGCAAAGCAGTGCGAGTGGAGGGAGGTTTGAAGGGGGCAGACATGTGGCTCTTGAAAAGCAGGCTGGGGAGCTGAGCAGGAGGTTTTTCTTCTTCCTGCTGTGGCATTCTGTGCCCTGCTCCAAAGCCCACCACTGCTGATGGTCATTGGACTTGATGATCCTTATGGGTCTGTTCCAACTCAGAGTATTCTATGATTCTATGATCTGAATGTCTGGGTGTGTTGGATCAAACCAAGTAACAGAACTCATTTTAACTGTGCTTCATTGGATTCAGCTTCTTTGGCATAGCAGAAGTTGAAATTTCAGTACGTGGATGATAACCACAGAGCATGCATCTGCAGGTGCTGATAGCTTATAGCTCGGAAGCATTTGAATGAGAGCAAAGTGGGGTGGGAAATGCAGAAACTGAAAACGACTGAATTGAGTGAGGTGTCAGAAATGTCACTGCACACTGCAGGTTGTGTTCTCACAGTTATTGACATAAAACTCAAGCAGTGTAGTGGTGAATTGGGACCCTCAAGTTTCACCAAGGGAAAATGATAGAAAAAAGGCAGTTATTGAAGTATGAGTGGGGAGGATTGAAGCATAGGCCTCTTGTACCTCCATGTACGTGGTTGAGTCCCACTGGTTTCTAAGGTTGTGCTTAAGTACAATATGTTCTTGACTTCTTTGTTGTAAGGAGATAATGGGGTGAACATTTTAACCTCCAGAAGTTGACTTTGTTTTGCCACTAATGAGCTGCAAATGCAGCTGCATCTGATGGAGCTGTGCCACCTTTATATAGATGTCTGTGCAGAGGTCTGGATGTAGAGACTCACTGGGAAAGTATTGATCCCAAATAGCCCCAATGTCAGTGAAAGGACTCCTACCAAAGCTATTGATTTTAATCCATTTGTACATTTGGTTCCTTCAAAAATTCCCTTAATATAACACAACACTTACTCCTTTAGCCAATTAAAGGAGATTAGATTTTTGACTTTTTTGTGTTTTAATTCCTGTACTGCCATTTTCATCCTTTCTGACCATCTGGATATAAATAATTTATATTTAATTGCAAACTCTAATCAACAGAAATGTCAGAAGAAGTTCAAGCAACAAGTTTTGGAAAGTAATAGGCGAAACACCTCAGATTTCCAAGGTTGGGTGGTGAACTATTTATTGCTAGGGGAACAGCTGCAGACATGCCAATCTTCAAATGAATAAAGTTTTTGTAGCATCTTTGTTTCCCTGAAATTTATTCATCCAAGACAGTTTTTAACGTCTTCATTCTTGGCAAACAGCTCTATCTTGGTCCCACAGGAATTTATCCAAATGCAAGATGGACACTGAGATGGCAGGATCAGTGGTTTTGTTTCTTTGTTAGCTTTGGATTGGGGGTCCTTCTACTCTTATAACAATGTTGCTGGCATAATTATCACTTATACAAATTAACCACGCAGTGTTCAGTTCTCTTGAGCTCTGAATGTCAGATATTGCTGCTGACATGAAGCACTGCCATTGGTTTTTGTAGCCCGTTCCAGCCCTCTTTAGACTTTCACGTGTTCTTTATTTATGTCTCCCATACCTAAAGCTCCAGTGGTTGTTGGACAACTACGAGACAGCGGAAGGTGTGAGCCTGCCCCGGAGTTCTCTCTACAACCACTACCTGAGGCACTGCCAGGAGCACAAGCTGGACCCAGTGAATGCTGCTTCCTTTGGAAAACTGATCCGGTCGGTGTTCATGGGGCTGAGGACTCGCCGCCTGGGAACCAGGTTGGTGGGGGAGCTGGGGCTGGAGGTGGTGGGGAGAAACTTCCCAGAACTGGATGATTTTCAAAGTCCTTTCCAACCTAAACTGAGACAGGGGAGGATTAGACTGGATATTAGGAGGAAGTTTTGCACTCAGAGGGTGGTGAAGCACTGGAACAGGTTGCCCAAGGAGGCTGTGGATGCCCCATCCCTGCAGGCATTCAAGGCCAGGCTGGATGTGGCTCTGGGCAGCCTGGTCTGCTGGTTGGAGACCCTGCACACAGCAGGGGGTTGGAACTGGATGAGCATTGTTCTCCTTTTCAACCCAGGCCATTCTATGATTCTAAGCCATGCCATGATTCTGTGGCACACTGTCCTGTGGGTGAGCTGGGGATGCTCTCAGTGTACACTCAGTGGCAAGGTGCAGGCAAGCAAGAGATAGATGCTGGCTGGGCCTTCAAAGTGCAGAGTGAGTGACAGCTCCCAAGCTCAGCTGCATCTTGCCTTCCCCCACCACTGTGTATGGCTGTGGGTGCTCTACAGCTCCTTGCATCAGGGATTAATTAAAAGCAAATATTTTGTATAGCCACTAATTTCAGGGGCTGTAGTTTGTTCTCAAGAACAAAGCATGTGGCTTCATGTTTTGCAGAAAAAAAGAGCATTGCACTGTTCTTGTGGGATCTGCAACTCCTCTCACACACATAGAAAATCTACCAAGTGTAACTTGGCAGGCACGGGTCTTTCTTCTGAGATGTATAGAAACAACCAAACATTATGTTATAGGAAAAAAAAATTGCTATAGTAAATCACAGGACTAATTTCCATGTGTTGTGAGGCAAAGCTCTTTCTGAACAGGAATCAGCAGGGTGAGGATGTTAATTTCAGACATGTTCTGGGATTTTGGTGACAGCACCTCATTCTGAATTCAATCTAAGCCCGTTTCTCAAGGAATCTAAGGACATTTTATTTAAATCCAGGTTGTTTTTCATCCCATTGTTTTCTCTTGATCACCATTGCTGCTGTCAGCTGCGGGATCCAGCGTTCTGCTGCAGAGTTCCTTCTGGATCCAGGAATGTTCTCCATCAGCAGTGGGAACAGATCTCAACTCCCTGATACAGACAAGGTGTTCAGACATCCCTATAGATATGGAGATGCCTTATTTCTGAAATTCACAAAGAAGAAGGCTGAATCTTCTTAACAAGTATTTGTTTTAAAATATCACAGACTCGTATGGTGCAACAAGAAAGGTGAAACTTAAGAATCTATACTTGCAATAATGGCATGTGTCCTTCAGGGAAGCATCCAAAGTATATGCACAGTCTGTACAGCTGACATTGCACTTTACTTCAGCTTCTAATTTTAAAAAAGCAGTGAATACACTGGAGAAGCAGTGATTGCTCTGGTTGTATAACTTCCTATAATAAAATACAAGCTTGGATATTTGGTCTTCCAGAGTAGAACAAAACCAGATGTGCCTGGAGCATTCCACAGCTGGAATGGGGAGGTCGTAGTCACAGGAAAAGCGGGGGAGAGTTTGGATTTCTGAAGATGGGTTCCAATGTAAGAACTCTGAAGTCATTTCTTCAGAGGAGAAAAATTCTTTAATCCTACCAAGGGAGGAAAAATTCAAAGTCCCAACAGCTGCTCTAGAATCCTTCTGCTTTGAGACCTAAAAGATGATTGGACTTGAAAATAGAAAGGCTCAGAAAATGGAATTTCTGATTGATGGCAGTGTTCTAATATTTCAGAATTTATTTTCACCATGAAAGACTGAAATAAAAAAAAAAAGTCAGAATATTTTATTTCAACGTAAGTAATGCTGCTTGGTTGACATGTCATTATTTATTAAGGTTTTAAATTATCTAATAGCTCTTATATTCTTTTCTAAAAAGAAGGAAATTGATGTAATAAGGGAACTGATGTCCAGTTCTTAAACTTATTTTTATATCTATCTCCTGTGATATAAATGTTAAATATTCACCAGGTATTCTTTTGGTCTGTGATGTTCTGAATTCCATCACTAAAGGTTTCGGTTAACCTTGAAAACTTTGTGATTAAGACAGAAACAAAAAAAGTAACAAACTTAATATTCAAGATGTGCAAGCTTGAAAGGCTACAGTACACCTCCATACATATGGAAATAGCTGCCCACCACCTTATTCATTCATTTGCATTATCAATGCATCTATTATTTAATTTGCAGGCACTTAGAATCACTAAAGGTTTGATTGGAGCATGCTTCACACCTGAGCACATGTAAACCTTACATTACAGTGACAAAGACTGAACAGTTCTGCTTCAGTTCTGCTTCAGCAGCCAAAAATTGAAAAGAGAGAATTCCCACAAGATAAAAAGTATTCTGGATACCAGCTTAATTCTTCAACTGATACTTCTCTTAAATTTCTCTATGGGAGACATCATTGGATCTGAAGGTGCCTTCAGACACTGTCATACTGAAGCATTAAGCTGTAATTTTAAGCAATGAGAGCACATTGGAGACCCCACTGCAGAGGAAAAATCCTGGTTTGGTGGGAAAACTTGAATGGAGTCATCTGTCCAATGTGATGGGTGGAAAGGCCTCTTCCTGAGGAGCATCACAGCAGCTTTATGCACCTAGGAAGGAGAAGGAAATTCAGCTTCTTTTTCTTGCAAAAAGCTTTCAGATCTTACAAAACTGCAAAAATGAGCAATTCCCAAGGCCAAAAGCAGATCAAAGTCTCTTAACTGTTGCTATTAAAGTGCAGGCACCAGAGAGGTGGCTTTCTTATCATAGCTGGCCATTCAGTCAGGCTTGTTTTCATCCAACTCTAGATGAAGATAAAAGTTTAGTTTCAATATAAAAGCAAATTCTTAAGCTCTAATCAAAGTGCGAAGCGTCCCTTGAGGTCTCTGTCATTGTTTAACAATGCTTTGTACTTTTAACACTTGCCAGTTTTCCCCCGTTGCTGTTGGCTGCTTAGAACAAACCTTGCCAGATTTCACATGTGGATGTCACTGAACTTTGTGACATGTGGTCATGAATTTTATAGGGGCTGATGGCATTCATTAGGTCAGCGTTCAGACAGCGTTGGCAACAAACACGTGCACTGTAAGGAGTGGTGTGAATTGTCAAAACAAGCCTGAGAGTAAATAGCAGGGCTGTGAGGTTGCTCCCATTGACTTGCTGGCACTGAGCAATTTTAATGCTGCTACTTGCAGGGGAAACTCCAAATACCATTACTATGGGATCCGGCTGAAGCCAGAGTCTCCACTGAACCGCTTGCAGGAGGACACGCAGTACATGGCCATGAGGCAGCAGCCCATCCATCAGAAGCAAAGGTAGGTTCTCCTGGCCCCGTGGCACCCAGGGCTGTGCCCCAGAGCTGCTGTGGGGTCCTCCCCAGGAGTGGGGCTGCCTGATTCTGCCTGGTCTGAGCAGCAGAAGGCTCAAGGAGAAATTATGGCTTGCCAAGCTGCGTTTATCCACTGTTCTGTTTGCCAGTGGCCCGAGTTCAGCCTGCTGCTACAGAGCTTACTGCAGAATATACCACTCCTCACTGTATCCCCTGGCTCAATAGCGTAGGACCTCAGTTCTGCAGCTGTTTGTACCTGATCACAGAAGGGGTTGTGGGCTTGCATTGGTTTGTTTCTTGGGTTTGGGTTTTTGGGTTGTTTGGACTTGCAACAATGCAAGTTAAAGTGCTATGGTTAGTCTTGTGTCTGAGCAATTTTGAGTGCCGTGGAATTTGGGATTGTCTCCTGGAAGCGCTGACGCTTCTGGCTCATGCTACAGTAAAGAATTCATTTCTTCTGCTCCTGAACAGAAAACAAATGCAGAAGTCACCTCCAGAGTCTGCACTCTGGCATCCACACCAGCTCTGCTTCTCATTTTCTTTTTTTTTACATCCACCTTGGGCAAATTTCTTAATCCATTTAAACTTCTCCTGGGTAGTGCTTTCCCAAAGGAGAGTCTCATTCCCCACCTTGAGCAGGTGATAGAAATAGTCAGCCTTCCAAATGCTGGCTTTGGATGTAACCTCTTTTATTACATGATGTAACTTTTTAATTAAGTGCTCTACAGCATCATAGGTTTGTAGGTGTCCCTATCTCTCACAGCATGACCATGTTGCATGTGATGTGTTTGTTCGTGCTTGTGTAACACCAGGGCATTCTGTAACCCTAGGTACAGACCAGCTCAGAAGATGGATGGCGTGGCAGAAGCTGGCTCCAACAGCAGCCTGCACACGACCCCTGAGCAATCAGTTGCTGCTCAAAGTCAGCACCATCAGCAGTTCATAGGTGAGCAGACTGCTTTCATGGATTTGAAGTTGCACATCTGGGCTGATCACCTTAAGAAGAAGGAAGGCCCTGTCCAGCAAAACCTGCCTGCTCTGAATTTCTTCTTTTCTAAAAAACTTATACTCTAGTACACTCTTGTGATGTCACATTTGCTGTGTTTCTCCTGTACCCACAGGAAACTTCACCCTATTGCCACTGGCTCTGTCAATTCCTAGGTATGCTTTTAACTCAATCGAGTTGGATGGAAAAGTAGAACTCTCCAAGCCACACTGTTCTGAAGAGCTTTGTAGAACAGGGGGAGTGAAGCCATTCTGTTTGTTGCCCTACACTGCAAGCTGTGTGTGTTCAATTCCAGGAGATCCATACAGAGCCTCTCATGATGAGACAAGTTCTCTGCTTTTACTGGTCATGGATCTATGTGTTTCCATAATCTCCAGTAGAGATACAAAATCCCAGCCCAGCTCCAAGCATTCTCTGAAATGCAATTACTCCTGATATGCCTGATATCCAGTTATATTGTCCATTGTACTCTCAAAATTACAAAGGGATGTTTTTCAGGCCTTGGAGAAAATCTAATGGGAAGCACATTACACGAGGACAATGTATTCTTGTTACTTTTATTACAAAGAGAAGGAAAACATTCTCCTTTACATGCTGGACATATGGATTGCAGTTGTTTACTTTTTGCCCATTATAACAGCAGGAATCAGGGAAGTACTCGTTTATCAGCCTCATTTCAACAGGTTCACTCCCAATTAAAATGTGTAAGATAGCAACCAGAGACAGAAGCAACTTGTATGTGTCTGTAGTCTGCATAACTGAATGCTACTAATTTTTACCAACTTCCCCATCTTCTTTTCCCTAGATGTAACCCACGTCTTTCCCGAGTTCCCAGCCCCTGATCTAGGTAATGTTCTCTTACAAGAAGGAGTCACCATGAATGATGTGAAAACTCTTCAGCTTCTTTACAGGAGACACTGCGAGGTGATTACTTTGAATATTTTTAATTGATTAATAGATCAATTAAATGACACGGGACATAATTCATGTACACCTCTTTCATGCTGCCCTCAGGAAAAGCTAAACTGTAATAGGACATGTTTGTTTTACTAGGTATTGAAACTGAAGTGTTGCACTTGGTTATTTTTTTCATGGTGTGACCTCTTTTGTATTACATTGATTATTAAAACAATGCACTTCTTGTTGTTTTTCCTGTAAATTATTTAATCTAAACGTCAGCACATGAAATACATGCTGACACTCTGTGACAAGATGCTAACAGAGTAGCTAATGAGATGTATTCTTTGTTGTTAGGCAACTTTGGATGTTGTAATGAACCTTCAGTTTCATTATATTGAGAAACTGTGGCAGTCCTTCTGGAGTCCTAAAACACCACCTAGTGATGGCTCTGCTGCCCTGCCATCCAGGTACACCATGCTGCTTTGATGATTTCTGAATGATCCTTTTCTTGATGCCTTTTGTCTTTTAAAAATGCATAAAGTGATTTCAGCTTCACTAGACATGGAAATACCTACTTCTTCTGATGAGGTACACCCATGGCATGCTTCCTGTATCCTAATCTGAAATACAGGGAGCAGTTGGGTGAATGCAAATGGGATGCTGCTTTTGAAAGCATCTCCAACACTGAGGTTTTGGTGACACCTCGACTGGCTCACTTATTTGGGTGCCTGACCAAGTCTGTGCGTCTCTCATGTCTTGAGGAAGATAATGACAAACTGAGCTGCTCTGATCCTGGCTTTGTGCTCCTGTCTGGCTCATTATTGCCTATTCTTCTTCCTTTATGCACTGGTAGTCTGCTGCCAAGAGACAGTATAAGGGAAATAAGTGAAAATAGAGAGAATTGAAAAGGTGATGGTTTCTCGTTAAGATATGTATTGAAAGTCTGTGTTGTTCACTCACAGTAATTACATGAGGACTTCAGATATTGATGTTTTATATTTGGAAGAAAAACGATAAAAGTTTGGGTAATAAGGAAATATCCCATAATAATCCCTGGAGTACAGCCCTTTTGCCCTCAGCAGATGTTATCCAGTGAATATTTTGCAGCAGAGAAACACTGTAGCTCTTTGATGGTTTCAGAATCTTTTACTTACGGGGACATCTACAAGGCATTGGCAGCACAGCAGAGAGCTGAGCTAGATCAGAGCAGACTCAGGGCAGCATCTGCACAGAGCTCTGCATAAACTGGCACACCTTGGTAGGGCAGTGTGCTCCCATAGCTCTGCACAGCACAGCCATTAATCAAGATAGGTAGCACTCTAGCCCCTCTTTTATAAATATGGATATAAAAATAAAGTGTTATCCAAGTGCCAAATTGTTTAAAAATGTGATAAAATGACAAATCTGGTTTGAGAAACCAGAACAAGAAAGTGTAGGTAGTTGACAGCTGGTTTTTCCATGTGAGTGTTCTAGGACTACACCCGTGGATAAAACCTCTCAGGCAGAGAGTATAAGGACCTCTTTATAGTACATCAAAGGCTTAGCTTTAATGATTTTGATGTAATGCATGAGGAAAGTTCCCTGTAAGTTCCCAGTGTAGTGTCTTAATAGCTCTGACTTGTGACTCTGGCAGGGCAATAAGGCTTCAGTTTTCTCTGCCTGCTGTTTAAACAAATATCTTATGACTTAATCATGCAAAAAAAAGTTTCCGTACATCTATAAAGTGAAGTGAATGCAGGCTCATTTCACCTCATTCAGCTGGAGACAATTTATTCTCATCACAACACCAAATCTTTCTGCTTATGAAAATTTTGTAGCATTTGAAGGTACCAGACACCTCAGAAATGATCACAGTGTCCATCAGCACTGGCTAACCTGCTCAAACAACATTTGCTGCAAATATTTGTCAGAGGGGAGAGGATAAAGGTGTGAAGGGTTTGGGAACAGCTTGAGCTGTAAGGAGGAGCCAGCTGTGCTGTGTTGTAGGACAATTCCCAGGTACACATGAACATGTGTGTGTGTGAAGGGAGGCTGAAGGTAGAGAAAGCAAAAGGAGGCCAAGCACAGGAAATGCAGGCTTGAGGTGAAACCACAGTCAGAGCTCTGATCCTGTGATGGAGAGGTGCTTGCAGAGTCAGAGATTGGTACAGATGATCAGAGATTTCCTTTTGAAAGAAATGTGAATTGCTTTTTCTGCTGAAAACTGAAATTAGAAATCCAGATGAAGTGTGAATTGCCTGGAATATCAGCTTCTAATGCTGCTTCCCTTTTCCCGCAGTGAAGAAGAACATGAAGGGACCCTCCCAAAAGACAAGCTGATCACTCTGTGTAAATACGAACCCATCCTCAAGTGGATGAGAAGCTGTGACCACATCCTGTACCAGGCTCTGGTGGAGATTCTCATCCCCGATGTGCTGCGACCGGTGCCCAGTGAGTATCTGCAGTGGGACCAGGAGGGCACAGGCAGTGCTGCCTCCTGCTCCAGCTCCTTGCTGGGCTGCTCCTGAGTCACCAGATGTCTGGAGAACTGCATTTTGTGATTCATGCTGTCTGGCTACCACTTGCCACAAAGATTTCCATTGTAAAAGCAGTCTAATATTTTGGGCAAGGACAATATTCCTTCCACAGCATTGTTATCTGCAGGCATAACTTTGTGGCCTTTGGAATTCCCAGGCCTTTTAAAACAAGCTCCATTTCATATCACATCTCCTGACTTTGGCTATAAGTCAAAGGAAAAGCAAAGGCTTAATGCACAAGCAGTTGTAAGCGTGGCAAGTCCTCATGAGATGTTTCCTTGGAGACTGTATCTTTGTTCACACAGGACCATGCTGTCCCCTCCTGCACCTCCTGGAAACATAGGGTTAACTTTCACTTGGGAGATTAGTGATGGCGTATGGAGGGTTTTCACTCTGATTTGGCTGCTTACTTTGATGCATCTGTCAGTCTCCAACGGCTACAACTTAGCCACAAACTGGGCTGAGCAGTGCTGTAAAAACCTGGTCCCAGCAGACTGATCTGCTGTCAGTCTGCATGCTGGTGCAGACAAGTGTCTTTAAAGAGCATGTCTCAGCAATTAGAGAAAGCTAAAATGGGCCACAAATAAGATAAGGAGCTGTTTGTGTGCATTTTGGGACCTAGCTGATCCAGGATGCTGAACTGAGATCACAACTACCAAATCAGTGGCTGTGCCTTCCACAGCAGTTCTGATCTAGAAAGGTGGTGTGTAAAGACAATGTGGAACAGCCTTTCTAACTCTGCAGCTTTCTTTGCAGGCACACTTACACAGGCGATTCGTAATTTTGCCAAGAGTTTGGAAGGGTGGCTGATGAATGCAATGAGTGAATTTCCCCCCCAGATTGTCCAGACAAAGGTAAGTAGAGAAAGCATGATACTGAATTGAGTGTGTGTGTTGTCATTTTCCACAGTGATTGGAAATCACTGCTGGAATTTGGCTATGAGTACTCCAGACTAACACAGCATTCAAGAATAATTCTGAACCAAAATCAGCAAGGAGCAGGGCAAGATCAGGCAGTTCATTTGAGCTGATAATGCTCTGCCTGTTGTGCCATTTCCTTGCCTGAATGGAAAGTACAGGATACTTCAGAGGCTGAATGACACCACAGAGACTGAATATAAGGCTCCTACTGTCTTTCTCCTAACACCATGGATTTGTGAAGCCTGTTCCCAGCTCGAGATACACTCAGTAGATGCTGCAAAAGTGCTTGAGTGCACATTAGGCAACAGCTTGAGAGGAACCATGCAGGTTACCCCAGCTAATGTATTCTGCATTCTTGAGCTCAGCATTGAGAAGAGTTAGCCCCTGAGCCCTGCTGCCCCCTGATCACAGTCCCCTCCGTGCTCTGCTCTGCTGCAGGTTGGAGTAGTGAGTGCCTTTGCACAGACGTTGCGGAGATACACATCCCTTAACCACCTGGCTCAGGCTGCTCGTGCTGTGCTGCAGAACACTTCCCAGATAAACCAGATGCTCAGTGATCTCAATCGGGTTGACTTTGCCAACGTGCAGGTAACTTACTGTATCTTTTCCTGGGCCATATTGTCTAGAACTGGGACTGTCTAGTGAGACTGTCTGCTAGTAACCAGCATGTTATTTCCAATATTAAAAAGTGATTAAGTGAATTATTTAACGGGAGGTTTTGGTGTTTTTCAAGGTGTATCTGTCATCTCATTGTGAATAGTGGAGAAGGCTCTCATGAACTTCTATAAGAAGTACTACTAGCAATACTGATTTTGTTCTAATAGGAATATTGTACTGTGGTCAGGAGAGATCAAAAGAGGTGTGATTCAGAGCTGGTTTGGAGTCCTTGCCTACTAGAAATGAGGTTGAATTCCTGGGCTGGGGGAAAAAACTGAAATAGCAGGCTTTGCGTGAGTGACTGTCAGCCCTTCCTCCTGAGCAGGAGCAAGCCTCATGGGTGTGCCAGTGTGAGGAAGGCATGGTGCAGAAGCTGGAGCAGGATTTCAAGCTCACACTGCAGCAGCAGAGCTCCCTGGACCAGTGGGCCAGTTGGCTGGATAATGTTGTTACTCAAGTCCTGAAGCATCACGAGGGCAGTCCCAGCTTCCCCAAGGCAGCCAGGCAGTTCCTGTTGAAATGGTCTTTCTACAGGTATGTTTTCTTCTCATTTTGGTAATAACTCTGCATCTGGCTCAGAGCATGTAAATAACTCCTTGAAAAGGCAAAGCCAACTTCTTTACACCTTTACACACATGCAACTCTGGCTGACTGTTGTTCTGCTCTTGTGCAAAAGAGAGTGTTTCCACCTATATCCTCTTGGGATGGAGATCAGATGCCCACCAACTAATTTCTTGAAGTTCTTGGACACTCTTTGGTTAGAGTTAGAAACAAAGCACTTGGAGTAGCTTCAGGATCAAGAATTCACATCAGCCATGATGCAAGTGTAAAACACATTCTAACTATTTTCTTTCTGGTCATTCTCCAGCTCCATGGTGATCCGTGACCTCACCTTGCGCAGCGCTGCCAGCTTTGGTTCCTTCCACCTGATTCGCCTGCTGTATGATGAATACATGTTTTATCTGGTAGAGCATCGTGTTGCCCAGGCAACAGGGGAGACGCCAATTGCTGTAATGGGAGAGGTGAGAATTGTTTATTCCCTTAGAAACAAGCCCAAACCAAGCAGCACGTAAGGGAGCACTGTTGGTTCACAAACAGCATTCTGCCCTGAACATGTTTTGCAACCATCTTTGCTGAGGGATTTACTGACTTGTTTTGAGTGCCTAGCACAAGGATCCAACTGCCTGAGCGTCTTCCCTCCTGTCTCACTAATACCTGGGCTGATGGTTTTGAGGCAGTTGGGCATCAGTTGGGCTTCAGAGCCCTGAAGGAGGAAGGAAATAGATCTATCAACTTCTCTCCATAATCTGATTTTGGTGTTCCTGCCATAGCCCCATCCAACACAAAAGCTAAACCAAAACCAAAATCTCCAGAAGTTATTTTCCCTGCAATTTTCAGTGGTACTGTGCACATCACTTCTGCAGACCCCCTCTGCAAACCCCAGAGCTGTATGCACAGTCAGCCACCCTCTCCATTTTTTCTGTGGAGAAGTGATGAGAGGTTTGTTTTTCAGTTTTGTGGGTTTTTTAGTTACAAATCAGACAGCAAAGATAGTGCCTGGCTTGCAAACAGGACCTCTCTTGTCTAGCTGAAGCCACTTCCAACATTTCATTCTGACATGCCCAAATTTAAAAGGTTCCAGTCAACCTGTGAAAGCAATATAGAAACTGCTCTTAGATTAAAACTGATGCTATTTGCTCCATGAAGTTCATGCTATTTTCCTCCTTCTGTGGAGCTCATGTAGGGCAGTCAGACAAATCAATCGCATCCATTTTGTTTTCTCTTCCCCTCCCATTAGACCCATGCTGCTGCATCATGACAGCAGTTTTGTGAATGCACACTCTTCCCTGAAACCTCTATATTTATTGATATTAGAAGAACATGAAAGACAGGGAGGACCTTCTAGCAAAACCTAGCTGTGGGAGGCTTTCATCCTTTAGGTTTTGCTTTTCCTTCATTACACTCTTGCAATATTTCTTTTCTCCAGGAGGAGGCTGATTCTTCCCAGCAAAAGACAATGAATTGTGTCCATCTATTCCCATTGCTCACTTTATAACTCCTGCTGTCTTCGATTCTTTCTGCTGCCCAACTTTGTATGACCTTTCAGAATTATGATTATAGTTTTTCAGAGTTTCAGACCTTGTCACAGATGGAGACAATACATCTCCAGAACCAAAGTTGTCACCAGCTCACTGGTTACACTTGGCACTGTGGCCTTGAAAGCCAAAGCACTTTCCTGACCTGAACTAAAGGGCTTTGCACAGATTGTGCAGAGGTGGAATGTTGGTAAAGCCCAGCAGGGGTGAAAGATGTCTGTGCTGCCTGACAGAGGCAGAAGGCTGGAGAAGAGGCACCTTCTCTGCTGTCCTTCTCCACTGTCTGGAGAACAGGCAGCACCCTGGCCAGAAGTCTGTGGCAGCACTTGAGAGACAGAACATCTTCTCTTGCCCTTTTCCAGAGCTTGATCCCTCCCTGGGTTTTTGTGTTTTGTATTTTTGCAGAGGCTTAGGTGAAAGTGACAAACGTTTCCACAAAATGCACCGTCAGTTTTGCTCTCTGCTTTTTACCACTGGCACTGCTGGTGCTCGTGGCTTCACCCAACTGCTTGTTAGAATTACTTGGAGACAGATGCTGGCTTGTAGATGTGATGCTTTGGCTCTGCATAATCCTCACTCACCTCAAGCCTCCTTTCTCTTTCAGTTTGGTGACCTCACATCCATGTCCCCAACACTGCTGGACAAAGGTATGAAAGCTCTGTAGGGCTGAGATTGAATCACTGCGGGTGGGAGAAATTTGTGCCAGCCTTTCTGTTTCACTGTGTTGGAGAAAAGGACCTCTTATCCCCAGGGACCACCCTGATGCTGAGCCTTTCCTTTTGCAGACCACATCAGTGACCTGGGCAGTGAAGTAGACACGGATTCCCGGAGCGTGGGGGAGCCACTTGTGAAGCGAGAACGCAGCGACACCGGGCACTCACTGCAGGAGATCTGACAGGGGGATGTGGCTGTTCTCCAGCTGGATGGAGACATCTGGAGCCAGGTTTGGCAGCCCTCGAGCCTGAGTCTCCCCACATCTGTGCTATTAGTGCCTCTTAGTTTCTCTCTCTGTTTACTGCTGTTTGAGGAAGGGCTGCGGGCGGTGATCCCGGATGGGGGGCAGTAGGAGGTTCTGCCTGCCCCCAGCTCTCTGCTAGCAGCTGAGTGGAGGGTGAAGGACAAAGTCTGCTAAAGAGAGGTTGAAGCGTCTTTGGACTGACTGTGCCTGGCAGGAGAGGCTGTGCCCCACTGAATGACGGGGCAAATGAGGCTTTCTCTTACAGGGAAGGTAATTTGGATTTCTTCCCCACTTCTCAGACTTCACTGTGATACAAACTTGAACCAATCAGTGCCCAAGAGGAAGGAAAAATGCCTGACCCTTCTCCTACAGCCTTTCGAGACACACTGTCCTGGCTCTGACTTGCCAAATCACTTGTGCTGGGCGTGTGGTACTGTGCACCTCTTGAACCTGTCTGGGGCTGTGCTCTGAGCTGGTCCCCCCGAGTGGCACACATACATGCCCTGGGACTTGGGATGAGCCCTCCCTGTTGCGCTCACGTCCTGCCAGCTATGTGTTCCATCTGCGAGCGATCCTGGGATGCTGTTAAACCAACCCAAGATACCAAAGGACTCCGAGGACGCAACAGCTGGACACCAAGCTGGCTCTGATGCCCATGTCTGTGGGATGGGACGTTTCCATTCTCTCCAGGGTACCCACACAGAGGGCATGATCTCACACCCTGGGTTTCCAGCAGGTTTCCAGTAGAATTCCAGGTTGATTCTAGAATTCCAGGTTTCCAGCAGAATTCCAGTAGAATTCTAGCTTGATGTCCTGCTAAAATACCACCGTGGACCTACACAAGGTGTATGCAGAGATGGGGGAGGGTGTGCGACCGCAGTGCCTTAGGACAGGCTGGCAGGCCTGCTTCTGCGGTGCTCCACTCCTGCTCCAACCCTGGCCCTGCAGCTGGGAGGGGCTCCCTGTGGCCGTGGCTGGCACCATGCTCAGCACTGCAGGGACATTTCCCTGCTGTGCCATCACTGTGGGGCTGAGCCAAGGCAGCTCTGCGCGGCTGCAGGCAGTGGGGGGTCTGTTGTCAAGCCAACTGCAAAAAGCAAACCCCAAGGCAAATCTTTCTGTGAATAAAGGCTGTGTCATAAATAGCTTTTATTATAATTATTTCTAATGATGTTTTATATGGTATGTTTGATGTGAGCTTTTCCAGGGGCCTCGTGTACATTTGCATATCAGAGTATATTCTATCCAAATATAATATTTACTTATTCAGAGTGTGGTACTAAGGTAGCTGTGACACTTGAAAAGAAATGGAAAGTAAAAAGAAAGCGTGTACAGTGTACATCTTTCCCTCTTACTGTTCCGTGCTGGTGTCTGTCAGGGTGATGTCTGTCTGTAAATGTCTCGTATCACAGTAGGAAGAGACAAATGAGAAGGCTGGATTTACCTGTAAATAATGACAATGATTACTCCCTGGGTCAGTATCTGCCCCTCACATCCTGCTAATAAGAGATGATGGTCAAAAAACAACCGAGCAACCAAGTCTTAAATTCCCCTGCTCCCACAGAGCATGATGCTGACTTCAGCTGCTGCATTGGCTCTATGGACCAGACCCAACCACCTCCTGCTCCCCATGGCCGGCTGAGATGCTCTGGAGCTGTGCAGCACCATAAGAGGAGTCTGGATCACCCCCTCCAAATCCATATGCACAAAATTCCCAGCTAAACCCGAATAGCAATAAATGTATATCAAATGCTCAGGCCTGCACAATAGTTGTTGTGGTCCCATTTCTTCTTTGGTCATTGAGAGGAGGTGGCAGGCAGCTGCTGCAGCTTTGCAGGGCTGGGGGGAGATGCAAATCTGTCCTGGGGATGGGGGGGCACCAGACAAAGCAGCTGGGAACCCCAGTGAGTGGAACATCCCAGAGGTGGTTTGGCATTGCTGCTCTCTGTGACTCATGATAGAAGGGCAGGGTTTGGGCTGGCAGTGAGGCACAGTCTGGGCATTCACCCTGGCTCCTCTGAGAGCCCACCCCATAGCCACAGGGTGCATCAGCTGAACCCCACGGGCTGAAGGTCATCTTTTGTCCCAGCAAAAGATGGGCAGCCCCCACCAAGGGCTTAAGCCATGGGGATATTTCATCCCCATTCTCCTCCCCTGTCCCTTACTGAGGCTGTGGGCCATCCTGCCCCGCAGTGTCCCCCCCCCCTCAGTGGGTGCCTCCCCTTTTTGGGGGGCTCTTTTGTTTTATGGGCATGCAGGATTAAGGGCTTTGCTGTCACCCTGACAGCATGAGGAGATGAATGCTGCCTGCCACCAAAGCTTCCTGATGTGATTGTCACTGCCCCTGTGCAAGGGAGGGAAACTGAGGCAGAGATGCCCCTGGCAGCAACATTCTGCAGCCTGCCCCAGCCCAGCACCTGCAGCCAGGGCTCAGCTGGGGCTGCTTAACCCACTGATACGCTCCAGCTGGAGCTGGTGGGGCTTGGGGTAGGGCTCAGCTCTGGGCCCCTTCTGGGCTCTTATAAGCCAGCAGCCTGAGAGCCCTCAAGGCTTTTTCTCCCTTTTTCCTTTCCCCCTACCTTTCAGGAGCCTTAGTTTGGAGGTGGGAGGGTTGGGCTCTGTCTGCTCCCTGCAGCTCTAGGATGTAGTGCCAGGATTTCCCACGCTTCCCAGTGCTGCCACGCAGGTAAGGGCACAGCCTCTGCTCTTCCATCCCTATTCTGGGGCTGCTGCTGGGAGGTGGGCTCTGCTCTGGGGCTGCTGGAGCCTCCCAGCACAGCCCTTGTCCCACATGATGTCCCAGATGAAGGATCATGGCATCGCATAGCTCCATGGTGGCCCTGGGGCTCAGTTCCCAGCCCAGCTGCAGCACCCCACTGTCTGTGCAAAGAAATTCCTTCCCTGGGCTGCACCTCCCGTCGCAGAGCTGTTTGCTCAGCCAAGACAGTTTCTTCAGGAGCTCCAATAGGTACGTGGCTGTGTGGGTGTACACAGGGCTGAGCACTTGTCTTGCTTTGTGCCCATCTCTGAGCCCCTATAGCCAGGTCACACCAATGGACCTGGGGCTCATGGCATCTCTGCCCCCCACCCCACTGCTATTGGGGCTGGGCAGCCCTGCATATCCAAAGGCTGCCAACTCATTTCTGTGTCCCTGCTGCTCTCCCAGGAGTTTCTGTGATACGAGTGATGCTGTGGGTTCAGAACTCTTCGACTGCAGCTACTCCATCCCTGACCCACAGCTGATCCGCAGGATTGTGTCCCAGGTGGAATTCTACCTCTCTGATGAGAACCTGGCCAAGGATGCCTTCCTCCTGAAGCACGTCCAGAAGAACAAGTTGGGCTTTGTCAGCATCAAGCTGCTGACATCCTTCAAGAAGGTGGGAAGATTTGGTGCCTGCTGGGCAGGAGGGGGCTTCTGTTGGGTAGGTGAAGCAGGGAAGGGAGGGTTGTGTGGGGAGATATGGGTCAGTCACAGAATGGTTGGAGTTGGAAGAGGCTCTTAAAGGCTGTCTGGCCCCACTCTCCTACAGTGAGCAGGGACACCTGCAGCTCTGCCAGGTGCTCAGAGCCCCATCTCTGACCTTGTATATCTCCAGGGATGGGGCACCCACCCACCTCTCTGCTCTTCCATCCCTTGGATTGTTTTTGTGACCCTCCCCGGACACATCCCAACAGCTCCATCCTTTTGTCCCCCACCTTATTCAAGCAGTGGGGGTGCTGAAAACCTTGCACTTGACTTTGACCCTTGTGAGGCTTCCCTGGCCCCACTCTCAGCCTGTCCAGGTCTCTCTGGATGCCGTCTCACCCCTCAGGAGTGTCACTGCACCACGCAGCTCTGTGCCACCCAATGGTCATCTCCATGGTCTTTAGGGGCCTCCTCCTGCAGACCCCAATGGAGTTCAGATGAACATTGTGCTGTTGCTGGAGCATCCAGAGGAGGGTCACTAAACTGATCCCCAGGATGGTGGTGGGCACTGCATCCCTTGGAGACCACCCAGGTGAGGCAACAATGCTGTGAGCACCCGATGGAGCTGCAGGGCCCTGAGGAGGGATGGGAGCCTCGCTCAAGTTGGCTCATTGCAACGAGTTGAACCAGACGGTCTTCAAAGGTCCCTTCCAACTCAGTGCTCCCATGACTGCCTCGAGGTGAGGCTGTGCCTGCACGATGGCTCTGGGCAGGGGCTCAGCGTCCCTCTCCCCACAGGTGAAGTACCTCACCCGTGACTGGCGCCTCACGCTCTACGCCCTGCGCTTCTCCGAGCTGCTGGAAGTCAACCAGGAGGGCACCAAAGTGCGGCGCCGCGTCCCCATCCCCGACTCAATCCTCAACGTCCCTCCCACCAAACTCCTGCTGGCCTGGGACCCGCTGCCCCCGGAGCCGGGCACGCCTCCACCGCTCCAGAGGAACTTCATTGAAACCATCACTCAGATGTTCAGCCCCTTTGGAGCCATCGCCTCCATCCGCATCCTCCGGCCGGGCCGCAAGCTGCCGTCGGACATGAGGAAATACGCAACGCGTTTCCCTGAGCTGCTGAGCCACTGCTGCGCGCTGGTGGAGTACGAGAGCCTGGAGAGCGCGCGCAGGGCCTGCGAGGAGCTGGGCCAGCCCTGCTCCCGTGGCATCTGCGTGGTGAGGCTCTCGGGGAAGGGATCCAAGAAGAGGAGCGGGGCTGAGCAGGAGGAGCTGGTGGAGGCGCGAGCCGAAGCCTTCCCTTGTGCTGTTGGGGATTCGCTGTTCTGCAGCTCCTCGGAGTCGGACGTGGCCTCGCCGCAGCTCCTCTCTGCACCCGCTTGGCCCCATGGCCACAGCTTCCAGCCCGGCTCCTTCAGCAGCACCTTCTCTGGGTCGCTCCTGGCCAGCATGGCCTTCCCTCCGCTCACTGCAGAGCTGGGTTTCAGCCTCAATGCCACCCCCAAAAGCCCCGATTTGGGCTGGGGGAGCACGTGGGCCCCGTGGCTCAGCAGCGCTGCCCACAGCCCCTCTGTGGATGCCACGTCCCCTCCCAGAACCCCCCCGGCTGTGAAGCCCAAATCCTGCGTGCTGCGCCTGCCCCATGGGCCCGATGGCACCAAAGGCTTCTACAACAGCATTGGCAGAGGGAAGTTTGTCCTCGAGCACTAAGGCTCCTTTACGTTTGGGTTATGGGATTATTATTTTTTTTAATTATTGTTTTATTTTCCTTTTTTTTTTTTTCCTTTTTCTTGAGCAGAACATCTCTTTGTGGCCCATAGAGGCACCGCTGCTGCGTGTGGTTCTGTTTTGGAGTGAGGATGCTCAGGGAAGGGGCAGCACCCAAAGCTTTTCCCAATGCCTGAGCCATCCTCACTGCCCGTATTGGGGTCTGTGCTCAGGTGATGGTCACTGGTTCTGCCCCATCACTCCCCCACACCCTGGGGCTGCTGATGGGGAAACCAAGAGCTTGAGCGTGGCGGAATGGTGGCACCATGGCCTGAAGGTGCTGTGTTGGCTGCATTGGTATGAAGTTGAGGAGCTCAGATGTGAAATGCTCAATAAAGACAGGTGACGTTTCCAGGCACTTTCTGGCTGTGAGTGATGTTATTTTTCCTCTAGCATTGTGGCTTTATGTTGGGCAGATGAGGGGAGTGGGGGTACTGTCCCACAGTGGCTTCCTCCATTACTCTTCTTCGGGTTATTTAGGGCTATTTTGCTGCAGCAGGGAGGGCAAGCCAGGCTCTGGAGTGGGCCCTTAGGATGGGTGTTACTTAAGGGCTTCACTCAGACCCTGTTGTCATGTCTCCCTGTCCCCCTTCTCCCCCCTTTTCCCCCTTTCCCCCCCCCCCTCTTTGG